TTGAAATATACATTAATAATAATAAGTATAGTAATATATGTGTACATATAGTTATGTATATTAGAAGAGTAGAGTTTGGAAAAAAAAAAAAAAAGAAAACAAAAAAAAGATAAAATTTCGAGTAATTGAAATTCGTATTGGTGATTTTTATTGCAAAAGACTGTTCATTAAATGATTGTATTGCATTTGTATGGCTGTGATTCGCACCCTTGTAGTGCTTACTAAAGTACAATTCGAGTACAAATTTAAAAAAAAAAAAAAATATATATAAATAATTTAAATTATAAGAATAATATTAATTAAGAATGGAGTCAATGTATTCTTTAAAAAAAAAAAAAAAGTAGATTACAAATTTTTTTTTTGGGTGTAATCCCAAATTTCTGAAGTGCCTAAATTGCTTTGTGAGGTCAGTTTAAGTTACTTAGAGTTAGTTGATTATCTTACGTTTTGACTTCTAATTTTGTCACTGTGTAATTCTTTGCGTCTTAGTTTTTCTGTTTCAAGTTGTAAGCCACCACTCTTGGTCTTCGTGGGATCTTCCCTTCGCTGGACCTGCCTTTGTGGATATACGCTTACGACAAAGACGAATTAGAACTTGCTAAAGTTTGTTGGACAACCTGGCCCCTGAGGTTAATAAGATACCTGGCCAACGTCTTAATGTCTGACGACATTGCTAATTAAAAAAAAAAAAATAAACAAAACAATGCATTTTTATTGCATTTATTTATTCACTACTTTTCCTAAAAGTTGTTGACAAATTTGCGAATTAAAAATTGGCAAGGCAACACATTTTACACGCGTGATACCTAGTACGAATAATTTATTTAAATTGTTTGTTCAGTTAACCATTATGGACACCGAGGTATTGGCACAAACTGTAGATAAATCACAAATGCCACCGCTGCACCAAAAGCGCGTCTTGGCCTTCATTAACCATTTTATAATTAACTCTTGCAATTTTCTCAATAATTTCGCATTGCAATACGAAACAAAATTCAATAGGGGTATTCTCTGAGTCTTGCAAAGCCCTTGCACGGTGCACGGTTTGCAAAGCTGTCCCATACAAAAACCGGTTTGTACCGTGCAATCCGTGCAATCTGTGCACCGTGCAAGGGCTTTGCAAGACTCAGAGAATACCCCTATAGATTTAGAAATAAAAATGCAAAAAGTCGAAGCCGCCTTAACTATAATAGAAGCGAAGGTAGGTAAGTAAGAAAAGTCGTATGTAACCTTTGCAATGAAGAAAATAATAAATTTCCAAATTCAATATGCAGCTTGCTTCTGTACCTGATGTTACAGAGACCGCAATGTCAACTACTGCCAATAGCATTACAACAGACAAAATTCCTAGTGAAACTGCAGAAAAGACTGACGGCACACCCGCCACAGCTGCTACTGGAGATATATCAAGTGGCGAAGACCAAATAGACAATGAAATGCCGGAACCCACAGGTGTGCGCGCATGCGATGATGTGCGTTAAAAAGTTTTTCAAAATGGTGCAATTTGGTGTGCCCAATGAGGCAGTAAAAATGAAAATGCAAGCTGAAGGTGTAGAACCAAGCATACTAGAGTGAGTTACTAAAAAATTAATGAAATTTTTTACAATTGCATATTTCTTTAAAGCACTCCAAATTTGTTGTTGGCAGATGGCGTTGCCGCCTGATTGTGCCTCACGAAACTAAGCGCCGTCACTTCAGATTAGTTGCTGTCCAATACATAGGTTCGAGCGTCAAGAAACCCCTGCTAAAACTTCTTTGCAACTAACATATTAAGCTATTCAATTTGTGATAATCCGTTCTATGAATACATACCTTGTAAAATTTTAATATGCTAATAGAATAAATACGCACAAATGCTTAAAATGAATTTTCTTTTAATTCAATGTTTAGGTATAAAACACTGTTTTAAACAATATTTGCTTTTTTTTCACAGGCGATTGGTTGTAGTGCTATTCACTATAGCAAAACGCATTCAATCTTTGCACTGACAGCAAACAGAAAAACAAAATAAAGGTAGCGTGGTAATGGGGGCGAGTAATTTAGAACTGGATCATCTGTCCCTTCCTTTTCTTGTCACCACCCAGCTCGAAATGCTTGCAACGCTTTAGAGGTGTTTGCTTGCGGTACTTGCATTCCGTGCATTCCATACGCAGCACAATCTTTTTGGTGGTCTTAGCCTGAAAATGAGGAAAATAAAAGAGTTAAGTCACCAGTTTCAGTCAATGGAAAGTTAAAAATTTAATTTTAAAGTATTTTTCTTGTGTGAACGTTCCAACTCAGCAACTACCGGGGCAACATAAAGCAGTTACTATAGAGTAGTTTTCAGCATTCAACGTTAATATTGCATACATTTATCCCACCAAAGAGCTTTGCAGCGCGCTTCAGCGGCGCAACAGCAATTTAGTTCTACAAATATGCCAATATAACTGGTATTTGCGATTGTAATTCGTACCTTCTTCCTGAAGATGGGCTTAGTTTGACCGCCGAAACCCTGTTGTTTTCTGTCGTAACGACGTCTTCCCTGCGCACCTTTACGCTCCTTGGACTTTTTGTACTGCGTCACCTTGTGTGGCTTGTGGCACTTGCATTTCTTGCAGAAGGTGCGTCGCTGTTTGGGCACATTGACCTGAAAAAGAATTTAAAAGCCCCTTAGTAAATCTTCACACAAACTTTTATTTGCACAACGAAAAGTCCCAAACAAATCCAGCAAGATATGAGTTTCATCAGTAATATAAATACACTAATATATAACAAATTATTTATATTTTCCACCAAAGCACAAGTCTGTGTATTTTGCATAAATATTTATGAGATGTATTGCGATTTCTATACAGGTTTTTATAGCAAATTTCCGCAAACGTACCATCTTGACGATTCTTGGTTGTCAAAGAAAGAAAAAAAGAAAGAGAAGAAGAATAAACGGAAGCGACAGAAATTTCAGCTGTCAAACTTGTTGGAATTTTTCTGAAATGGCACTACCGGAATTATTGGAATGCACTACCGGAAGTAGAGGGTACTGGGAAGCAACTGGTATCATGAAACACAGCTGGTCGTTTCCACGCTATTACTGGCCCTCTTCACGCGCTGGCAAATCTCGCTCGCGTGAGGACGCATGCACAACAATTTGACCGCTAATAAACTGAAATTTGCCTGTATAAACGGGGTGATTAAAAACAGGCTTTGATTGAGATTATATTTATATGTAAACATACTTTAACCCTCCGATGACGTTAGATTCGTGAGAAGGTCCTTAGGGACCTACAAAGAGTTGCTCGATGTTTCGACTGTGCATGTGCAACTTCTTTGGTATTTATGTTGTCTTTTGATTAAATTAACGTCCTGCATATATATTAGGAATGAAATAATTTGAAGAACAAGTGAAAAAAAAATCAAAACATGAAGACAAGTAACTTGTTATTTCTTCTAAAATTGTACAAGGTCCCTAGGGAC